GACAAAAATTAAAAACTGGGACCTACTACTACGAGAATGATCGGGGCCCACAGCTCTGTCCACGCAGGCTGCAGAGCACGCTGTTCCTCTCGTGCCTCGGGAACCAGCAGTTACTGACACAGTGGCTGTGGCAAACGGAAACGCGGTACGGGCATCTGCAAAACACCGAGAGTGAATCCCGGCACAGGCCTCTGGGACTCGGGAGCAGGCCCAGGCCCTTCTCTGCACACCGTTCTTCCACTTGCTTCCGAGCCCTGGCATCCTAAGTAGCCCTGTGGCCTAGCGTCCACTGTGAGTTGGGTGGTTTCTCACCAGCGCAGCCATGAGCTCAGGCAGGCACAGCCACATGGGAGGAGACGGCACAGGTGAACCGGCAGGCGCAAGTCGCACGAGCAGGGAATTTTCCTCTGACCCCAGCTCCCGCCCCTCACAGAGAGCTCCCCGTGCCTGCCTGAGCAGCAGAAACCTCAGCCTGGCTGACAGATGGTCCTGCACCATATGCTGCACTGCAGGACGGTGGAAGGCTGAGGCGAGAGCTCCGCCCAGGGCTGGCCCCTGGGGACAGTGGTGTATCCCCACTGAGGAGTCAACTCCTTCAGAAATGAAGGTTTGAGTCACCCTCCCAAGTATACAGCCTCTGTACGGCAGAGGCCCTGGCAGAGGGCAAAGGCAATACGGGATGCACAGTTGAAAAACAAAGTCACGGCTGGCGCCGTGGCTCACTAGGCTAATCCTCCGCCTTGCGGCGCCAGCACACCGGGTTCTAGTCCTGGTCGGGGCACCGGATTCTGTCCCGGTTGCCTCTCTTCCAGGCCAGCTCTCTGTTATGGCCAGGGAGTGCAGTGGAGGATGGCCCAAGTGCTTGGGCCCTGCACCCCATGGGAGATCAGGAGAAGCACCTGGCTCCTGGCTTCAGATCAGCGCGGTGCGCTGGCTGCGGCGGCCATTGGAGGGTGAATCAATGGCAAAGGAAGACCTTTCTCTCTGTCTCTCTCTCTCACTATCCACTCTGCCTGTCCAGAAAGAAAAAAAGAAAAACAAAGTCACAAATATCAACTATGGCATTGTGACGACTTACAGAAACGAGAACAGTTGGGGAGCACTGTGGTGCAGCAGGTTAAGCTACCGTCTGCAGTGCCGGCATCCCATATGGATGCTGGTTCAAGTCCTGGCTGCTCCACTTCCGATGCAACTCCCTGCTAATGTGTCTGGAAAGCAGCAGCAGATGGCCTAGGTCCTTGGGCCCTGCATCCACATAGGAGACCCAGAAGCAGCTCCTGGTTCCTGGCTTTAGTCCTTGGCGAACCATCAGAGTCCTACTTCTGTTTTTATGCAATCCACTTCATGGCCATTAATTCTGTGCCATACAGGGTTTTTGTGTGATCAACTTTTGCTTATTTACTTATTTGCATTTTAATGGGGGGGAATAGAGAGAGAGAGAGAGAGAGAATCTTCTATCTGCTGGTCCACTCCTCAAATGCCCACAATAACCACAGTTGGGGCTGAATCAGGAGCCAGGAATTCAAACCAGGTCTCCCAATGTGGGTGTCAGGGGCCCAGCTACTTGAGCCATCACCACTGCTTCCTAAGTTCTACATTAGCAGGAAACTGGAACTGGGAGTGGAGCCAGGACTCAGACCCAGGTACTCGGATACGGATGAGGGCACTGACAGCAGAGTCTTAACTGCTAGGCTAAGCGCCTGCTCTTTTATTACTATGCCAGCACCCACTCTTGGGACACATTTACATATTAACAAGGGTCAGAGTTGCTCTAGGAGACAGCCTCCCAAAATCAGTGGCTTATACAAAAAACTTTTTTTTTTTTAATTTATTTGACAGAGTTAGACAGTGAGAGAGACAGAGACAGAGACAGAGAGACAGAGAGAAAGGTCTTCCTTCCACTGGTTCACCCCCTTAATGGCTGCCACGGCCAGAACTACGCCGATCCGAAGCCAGGAGCCAGGTGCTTCCTCCTGGTCTCCCGTGCGGGTGCAGGGCCCATGGATTTGGGCCATCCTCCACTGCCTTCCCGGGCCACAGCAGAGAGCTGGACTAGAAGAGGAGCAACCGGGACTAGAACCCAGCGCCCATGTGGGATGCCGGCACCACAGGTGGAGGATTAACCAAGTGGGCCAAGTGCCGGCCCCAGCAACACTTTATTTCTTTCTACATCCGAGTTCAGTATAAGTGAGAAATAACACAGAGACACTCTGCTCCGTACAACTATGCAAGCACCCAGGTTCCCCTCCTTTTGTGACGGACACAACGTCTGTGCCACTGTAGAATCTCACACTCTCCTTTGCTCTGCATGCAGGTGGGAAGAACAAGGATCAGCACCAAGGTGCAGCACCTGTCACGTCCACGCGCCAGAATTCAGTCATGTGACCATAGCTAGCTGCAAGAGAGGCTGTGAACTGTGAGTACTGGGGAGAGGAAGTAGCTCATACCACACGATTGTGGTCATTGGTGGCACTTAGGATAGAAGCTGCCAGAGAGTGATGCAGAGGCCAAATTGTTAAAAGTTGAGAAATCATAAGGGACAGGAAGAGGTAGCTGCTCTTTAATTTGACCTTGATGGAAGCAAAAAAAGACAAACCTGAACCAGAGTGAGGAGGTGACCAGTGGTGCAAAGTTCTGTTGGTGTTTCCACCTGCTCTGCAATCGACAGAGAATTGAGCACGTGTTGCAGTCTCAATGATACATCTCAAAGAGAAACAGGACGGGAGTGGAGGGCTAGCCATGGGCAGAGGGAGGCCTGCATCTTCCAGGACAGACAGATGCAGAGTCACCAAGACAGAGAGAGGGGAACACCATCAAGCAGGCTAGCTCTGCTTTCTGTGAAGTGACGGGGCAAGAAAAGGTGCCGGGTTGCAGAGGACCCAGCTGGGCTGGGACAACAGGAGCAGTGTGTCTAGTTGTGTCACTCTGCCCTGCAGCCAAGGAGCAGGCGGGAGCAAGTTCTCAGTGTGCTTCACTCCAGTGAGGTTCAGCACACCCGCAGCCTTTGGCCCCAGGGGCGTGGGGGGGGGCAGCCTGCATGTGTACCAATTAGTCACCCCGTCGTCACGGCTGTTGGCTTCCTAACCCTCCCCGTGGTATAAGTTTTTCAAAGTTTTATTTATTTATTTAAGAAGCAGAGAGACACAGAGTCGGAGAGAAGGAGAGAGTGAGAGAGAAAGAGAGTTCCTATCTGCTAACTCATTCCCCAAATGCCTGTGATGGCCAAGAACAGCGCGGGGCTGAAGCCAGGAGCTGGGAACACCACCCAGGTCTCCCACGTGGGTGGCAGGAACCCAGGTACGTGACCCAGCGCCGCTGCCTCCCAGGCAGGAGCCAGAGCCAGGAGTTGAATCCAGGTCTCACCTGGGACGCGGCCGTCTCAGCCAGCAGCTGAAGCGCCAGGCCGAACACCTGCCACGCTCTACTCCTGTGTATTTTGATTTCGCTTCTTATTGTCCCCCATCCTAATCCCCGGTGCTCTTTCCCTGCACATTTTGGGTTTTCCGGTAACCCCAGAGTGATGCGCAGATCCTAAGTGACCCCGGTGACTCCTGCCTCCTGGTGTTTGTGTGGTTCCTTCGCCTCCAGTGCAAGTGGGACCTGTGGCTCGCTTCTGTCCGCAGACCACAGCAAGGTGGTGGGCTGTCACTCCTGTCACTTGTATGTTAAGTAATATGAAGCTCTGTGTTAGCAGGCTGGAGCCAGAGACGCCTCTTGTCAGCTTCATGGTATGCAGCCAGGCTCTGCAGAAGGCCACGTGGTGGGAAACCGTGGTAACCTCTGGGGAGCTCTGGGAAGTCTCAAGGAGGTACAATCCGCCCGCAGCCTGAACCGGTGGCAAGTGGCTCCCTCCCCAGCAGGGTCTGCAGGTGAGAATGCAGCCTGGCCGACGCCCTGGTTGAGAAACTCTACACATAGGACCCTCTCGGGACTCCTGGTCTGGACCCCGTGAGATAATAACGCAATATTTTACACCTTAAGTTTGTGGTAATGGGTACCACAGCAGAGAATGAAACACTCAGAATTCCCAAAAAGCACTCAGGCCCTCGGCACGACCCATGCATTAGGGGACAATCAAGGAAACTGGGGGTCCGGGCCCAGGACCCGGGGCTGGGTGAGGGAGGCGAGGGGGTGTGCTGACACACCCTTCGGGCACTGCGAACTTCAACGCAGAAGTGAAGACGCCCCCGGCTTTCCGAGCACATCGTGGTCCCCACACCCATGACCTCCCGTCCCCCCGGGTGCCCACGGAGGCCTCAGAGACGGGCGACGCCGGGCCCTGCCGTGCAGACCGCCGGGACTAGAGCACGACGCCCGCCCCTGGAATCTCGGCGCTCGGGCGCCCAGCAAACCCACGGGCGGCTTTCCACAGCCGAGGAAGCGCCCGGCGCCATGCCGGGCCCAGGCGGAGGGGGCGCTGCGGCGGGAGGCCGCGGCGGGCGGCGGGTGTCGTACCGTTTCGGAGCGACGCGTGGCCGCCCCCAAGCGTGAGCT